GAATTGAATTAAGAATATCTATCTAAATATATATATATATATAGAAGAATATAAAAAATTGGGTATAAGAGTTTCAATTGTAGTTTGAATATTTCCAAAATTTTAGGACATGTTAAATGAAATAAGTGATAAGTTTCAAAAAATTGAGAATTTGTTCCATTTTTATAAGATTAGTAAAAGTTATAAACCAACACCCCTTACATCATTTAAAGCTTCATTCACTAAAAACTTAGAAAATAATTTTTCCATTTTCAATTAAAACCAAGACATATATAACAAAGTCATAATTAACTATATCATTTTAGGTCGACTTGGCTTACAATATAATATTTGAGAATCCTTATGTTTGGCTCTCAACGAATGCATAGCCACCAAGTATAGTAGCATTTAAATTAATCAATGATTTTTTTTGGCATTTGATTGTAAAGTCTTGCAAATCAACATAATCTTATTGAGTAACTAGAAAAAATAAACAAAATCGTTAAGTCTTTGTTAATTGATACCTAGCAAAAGAAAAGAATTCTTTAATACCATCACATTCAACATATATATATATATATATAAAATTAAAGAATCACTTTTAAATTATAAATTATAAAAGAAAAAATACACTAAAATATATAGTTGATAAAATTACTATTCTAAAAATAAAACCTAACAATTGCACAAACAAAAATATATGAATAAAACCTCAATAAACTTACAAAAGAATAGCAAGCAAGACTACAAAATAAATTTCTTATAAGAAAATAGAGACAAAATCAAAATTGCTGTAAAACAAAGTTGAAATATAGTTAAATTTGATTTATTTAATAGTTTTTTGAAAGAACATTTGTATTTATATTGCTATCAAGAGACATTATCGTAATGTATTAAAAAGTTACTATTATGAACTATATAATGTAAGAAATAATAAAAGATATGGAATTAATGCAACTTTTTCTTCAAAATTATAGACTTTTTGCCTAATCTGTATTTTAAAAGAGAAAACAAAATCTCCTTAAGTTAATGATATCATTATTGTTAACCCATTAAATGTCTAATTTCTCTTTCTTTGTTTACTACATTAAATTTCATTTAATTTTTCATGAGTAATTCGACAATATAGAAATATACTCATGAGTAATTAGTTTTTTATTTAGTTTTTATTTTTATTTGTATTATTGGCCAAATTAATTGTAACTTATTCATATAAGGTAAAAATATTAGATATTTACAAGGTAATAAATGTAATTAATTTAGTTTAACTAATTATTTTTTTAGCCATAAAAATGTTATTATAAAAAATAATAAAAATGTTTTAAATAAATAAAATGTATTTATTAGAGAACACATGGTGATTTTTTAAACCCATTCACATGTAAAATATGTAAGCTATCCATGTGGAACTATTTCATTTTCTTTTTCCAAAGGCTTTGGCTTTTATCTATTTATATAAAATTAGTCAAAATTTTTTAATAATATTTTGAAAGATCCCAAACAAAATGAAATGCCTACAATGTGTCATGATAGTCATTACTATAGAATTTTGTTTTGAACGAAATGATGGAAGAAAACTTTTGCTTAAATAGCTATTTTGTTCTTTGAATGATAAATGGGGCATGTTTTTAATCTAAGAGAATAAGCTGGTGTTAGGTATTGAACATACAAAATCAGAGTATAATGCAATGGAATTTAAAAATTTTGAATCTTTTAAGCGATGAATCACATTGGCGAGAACTAGCACAAACATACATGCATAATCACTAAGAGAGTATTTCACTTACTTTGCTTTTTGATGGTGCTAAGAACACTTCAAGAACCTCAAGCTTGTTTATAGCAAACCAATAGTTGTTTGAGCATTAAGCCTCTAATAGTAATCTACATGAACAATGAGAAAAGAATCTTCATAAGGGATGGAAGAAGTAAGATGTCGCTTGCCCTCTTTTGGTGTTTGATCTCAATATGTTCTTAACACATGAGATGGTAGTAAGATGGTAATAAGATTACTTTAATGCTAATTGTATACAAAAAAAAGTGCGGCTATAGTTCTTTTAAATAAAGATAAGGCATTCGGCATAGTCCTAAGCATTAAGATTGTATGTGCCTAATTCTATTTCAAATAGAATTGTTACTTGGCTAGGTCTTATTCTCAATAGAATGCTTAATTATGGCCAGTTATACTATGTTTCAATAAGTATTGGGCCTTTTCTTGTTTATCTATTTTGGGCATTCTTAAAATTGACCTAACAAATTAAGTCCAATTTAATTTGTCTCAATTTTAATCTTTTACGATACCCCAATCTCACATTAGGATATTCTGATGATCTACTATGATATATAAGTTGAGATTTAAACTCAAACTTGTGAGGCACTTTTTATGGCATAAAACTGTGAGATTTTTGGGTCAAAATAAACAATACTTCAGAGGTTGGGTGTGGGTCTCCATAAATGGTATCAAGTGGTTACCAGTTGGATGGGAGCTAAGTATTATACTGTGGGAGCCATCTTTAGATTCTTGCAAGAGCTAAGTGTTACACGTTGAGAGACACCTCTAGAATCCCAACGTCTGGTGTGATTCTATGATTTGTGTGTGCTTTATGTTAGGCTTGCCTAATGTTTGGTATGATTCAGTGGATCTGTGTGTTTTGTGTTGGGCTTGACAGGGATGTCAAGCTTTAACGGGGGGAGTTTATGACACTCCAATCTCACATTGAGATATTCTAAGGATATGCTATGATATACAAGTTGAGACTTAAACTCAAACTTGTGAGGCACCTTTTTGTGAGACAAAATCATAAGACCTTTAGGTCAATGCGAACAATACCTCGTAGGTTGGGTGCGGATCTCCACATCTTTCACAAGTCATGTTTTATTGTATATAATCCATTAGGTTTCTTAACATGTTGGCTATAAATATAAGCATAGTAATCTTTGCTTGAATTCGGATATTAAATTAAAACCATTTTGATTTCATCATTAATTCTCCAATTCATCAATCTTATATTTATAGATCATGATCATGATGCATCTTCCTATGCTTAATGTTATACCTAATAATATCTTACTGGAGCATTCATTATTCATAAGTATAGTAAAATCAAAATATAACATTTATCATATAAGATCATTAGTAATCTCAAGTCATATAATCACTTATACAACCATCATATGAAAATATTACTATAAATGCTACCAAATAGCATTATCATATTTGGTTATATTTAGTGAACTTGTTCTTGTAACATGGATCCACATGTTAGCTCAAATTTATCTAAACTTCAATTTTTGAGATAAGTTGTTTGCTTCATAAGTAAGAATATAATCATGTACTGGTCTCAATTGCTTTATCAATGTCCTATCTTGACAAAGCATTGACTAGAAACAATTTAGGAATAATGTTTTGATGCAATAATGATCTCATAATTGCAATCTCATTTTAATTTTCTTACAAATCATATTTATTCTAAGGACTTTATCAAGTAATTAATATCAAATATATGTTTGTAAACTTATAAATAAAGAATGCCTTAGTTTATAATAGTAATACTTAATATGACATGTATCTCATAATCAATCGATTGGTCTTAAGGCATACACTAACAACATATTGCCTGGTAAAAGCTTCTTGCAATATTTAAATAAGAGAATATGTGTCATAATGGATTTCAACTGAGCGTAGGAAGAATCTGATCGTACAATTCTACAAGAGCTTTTGTTTTTCTTTTAGTGCCATAAGGGTAAGCAGGAACATCAATGCTTTGTGATGAACCGGTTAAATTGTAGGATCTGCTCAAGCGGGCTTGATGGTGTATGTTAGCAAATTAAGTTCTTTATGGGAGCCATTGTAGCTTGAAAACTTAAACTTTGAGGAACATAGATGAGAGACAAAGATTGCCCCACTGGATGCGTTGGAAATTTTGACATAAAAGTTTTGTGTCTGGAAATAAGACAGGAAAGGTAATGACAAATAGCAGTTTCATAAATTGGATGTGGAAATTAAAATCTCTAAAAAGTCTTCAAATAAATGAAATCATCTGATTCTTTTCTTCAGTAAAATAGTTCACTTCAATGGTCTTGAACACTTGATTTTAAACAAACAGAATTGATCTACTTCTTTTACGTTAAAAAAAGATCTAAGCAACTTCTTGGAAATTCTTAGAACCCTATTACTACATTCTTCGAAGTTTTAAGTCTTTCAATTCTTCATAGCTTGATTCTTTAAACTTTGGTGGAGCGCCTATTTATAATGCTTGATGGGAGAGTTTTAAAAGAATTTAACCTTTTTTTTTAATTATATCTCTAAATTATTTTAATTTAATCAAACATAAAAGATGACTCATGTGAAGTTTAATAGGATGATCAAGAGGTTTTGAAAATTGAGTGGTCGGGATTTGCTTTCAAATTATTTTAATTCAATTTAGAGATAAATTATTGATGACTTATAAATGAATTTGATTTGTCCAACTATTAAGTTTTTGAATTTTGATTGACCAAACCATTTATATTTATATTCAATTGTTTAGTGTCATATTTAATTGATTTTAAAATTATTCACTTAAAAATTAATTGTATCATTGGATATTAATCGTATCATTGGATAAAATTAACCATTTAGAAATTAACTGCATGACTGGATTAAGATGTTTTTCAAATGATGCTATTTGTTCTACGTGCCCATAAAAATTCGTCGCTTGAATACTTTTCAATTGTCTAAAAAAAATTAATGGACATATGGCAATTTATAATTTGGAAAAATTTTCTTCTTCTACATTTACATTTTCAGTGCTGGCCCCCTAATTAATTCATCTATTTTTTTTTTTTGGACAAATGGGTTCCTCTATTTTCACTTGTAAACTTGAGTCGAAGTGAAGTGTAAAAAGCAATTCTAAAATCATTTTCACGGTGTTAATGCCAATCAACATGTGATTCATCATTTATCAGTACTTTTCAAAAAATTTTTTGGAAGGAATTGGGTTATTTGTTTATGGCTTAGAAATTGAATTTAGCTTAAAAAACAGAGATTATAATTAAATGATGTCCTAGTTTCAGTTTTAAGCAGGCAACTCAACTCAACCACAGTGGCAACTCTGTCATTTTATACTATATTTAAAGTACAAAAAATGTAAATCAAATTAAATAAAATGATATGTAAGGTATGATAAATTACAGAAGAAGTACTGAAGACAAAATAATTAGAAACAAAAAGAAGGCAAGATAAATTGAATCTATTCGAATCTCGTTTTCCTCTTATCTGAATAAAGCCTCTCATGGTGTGATTTTGCTCCTTCCATCTTCAACATTTGAAGTAAGAAATCATTCCAAGTATCAATCGGACCAGGCAAGCACCAATGCACACAATCATTGTACAAGGTCACATTTTCATGAGGCCAATGCCCATATCTGCTAGGATGACCATCTGGTCTCAACAATGTTACTTGTGTTGTGTCCATTAGCCTATATCTCTTCCCCTTCTTTCTCCCTTCTCTTTCTGCAATCCTAAATTCCTCCATCTGAATCATATAAAGCTCCAAGTTTTCGCCATCCAGCGCTATCTCTCTGCTCGTAAACGGCTTTGTTCTCACACAATTTCCACCCTGATTCCACAATCCATTCTCAAAGTGTGATGGTGCAAAAGTCCTTAAAAATGTTATGCCTTTGAAATTTTCTAAGCTATTAATAGCCCTAAAAGCAGTCCTGAAAGCCTTTCTATAGCCATAGAACTTTGTCATGTCTGTCACATTTTCTATGAGGCAAAAATGACAACCAACAATTTGATGATTTTCATAGAAAACTGATGGACGATAAAACCAATGCCCTCCAGAGATAATTAGGTAGTCGAATTCTTCGATTTGAGTTGTCCATTCTTCATCAAATTCGTCAAGATAAAGATTGAAGAGTCCGGTTTTTGTCGGACCGTTTACGTCTGTTTGTTTAGATTTTACCAAATGTGGAGTCCAAAAAAAAGCAATAGTGAAGTTGTAAGTTGTGTATTTCCATCGTTTGAATTTTTCATCTGGTGTGTATGAAACATCTACTGGGTATTCCACCTGAAACAATAATGCAAAAAGCTTAAGAATTCAACAGAATTAACAAGTTTTAAAAAGTTTGTTTTCATTTTTGCTTTGAAAAAATTATGCCCAATGAAATTAATACATTAAAACTATCTAGACCTTAAAATCAAGTCAAATCCTGTGTCCCCGCTTCCCTGCCCTCATTGGTTTAAAGGCAAGACCTTATGCCATTTTGGCATTGGCCACTAAATTGTATAATAAACTTATTTTTAATAAAAAATCAAGTTAAAATTTTGCCATTGGTTGCAACTTAATTATTTTGAGTCATCCAATACCTTTACAAGGTTTTTCTTTTTTTTTTTTAAATAAAAATCTTTTCTATTCTATAACGATCTAATTTCAAATTCAAAGTGGTCTCATTTCTATTTCTTTAGGCATAATAATAATAATGATTATAATAATAATAATAATAATAATTGTAATTATAATTATAATTGATCTTGTAATTGATAAACAGTTTGAATATATGAACAAATAATTAGGAGAGTGAATGATCAACAACAATAAGGTGTTTCCAATTGCAATAGATATAAAAAGAAAAAAAGCAATCCATGGATTGGTTCAAGTCAAGACATTATTAAATACTAGAATTTAGACCAAATCAATGTAATTAGATGTTTAAAGAAATTAAAATAAATGAGCAAATGCTAACAGACCAAATCAATATTACATTAAATATTTTAGCCACCAAGGAGTCCACATCACCAGAAACGCCTACCAGAAAATTGTTAATATTATATGATGGAACTTTATAATATTAGAATATTCGATTACATCTAATCAAACTTTATTTTGTCAGACTGCACGGATAATTATAAGCAGGTTAATTAATTAAACAAATAAAATTTGTCCTTATTCTTTCATTTTCATTGATGGTTATAATGTCATCATAGATATATAGTTGGCAACATCTTAATTATTATATAGAGAAACACACAGGAAAACTAACAATTAAAAGAAAGCCATCATTTTTGGTCTTACTATGGGGGCAAAACTGATTACTAATTTCTGTTTAGGAATTTTTTAATTCAAATGGCTATCATTTATCAGTTTTGCCCGGTCCAAATCAAGCATTTCAAATCAATATATATAGAGTAGGATCGTTTATACTAGTGTAATTCTTATATATAGTTTTTGAATTTTTAGATAAAAATGATTAAATTTAAAATTGTTATTTTAATTTAAATGAATAATGAATTGAATTTTGATCCAAAAATTATAAAAATTATAAAAATTACATTAATATAAATGGATCTCTTTATATATATTTCACTAAAATCTTCAATTGGTTACACCTGCGTGATAAGAATAATTTTTAATAATGTTTTCTGACTTTTTGTTTAGGAAAAAAATGTTTATTGAAATATTATGCATGTTAACTGATAATTGGAACAACTGTTAACACTAAAGATTCCACATATTATTAATCTCCATTATTTCACCTAATCTTTGATTTACATGATGGCTTAGGTAAACTACCCACCCCTTGCTGCTAACCAAAATGATTGGTCAAATGACATAATAAATAAAGCAAGAAGATATAGAAATGTTGGGAACCATTCCAATTTTTACAAATTAATTTAAAAGAAAAATAAAAGAAAAACATAATGCAAAAAAATCAACTCTGAAATCAAAGCTAAGATAGACTTTCAATCTCATGTTCATCCTTTTAGCAAATTTACTTCGCAAGAATATATGTAGACATTTGCCAAAGCAATAAAAGGTTCAATAAAAAAGGTTGATGCTACAATTTGTTTAAGATCGTAGGCACTATTTTATTTTTTAATTTTAAGGCAGCTTCTTGTATGTAATGGTAAACAATTAGATATACAGTTGAAAATCAGATATATGTGGTAACAATTGTGTACTTGTTTATAAAATATTAAAGTTTTTACTTTAATGATCAGGGCTTAATTCTTCATAACTTTAAATATATAAAAAATATATGTGACCCCATATATATGTGGAAATTTATCTAATTAATACATATATTATTGGAAATTTTAAATTTTACAACCGAAAGGATTGTAACTAGAATATATTTTAAAATTTTCAAAAATTAATATAATAAAAAACACATAATAATTTTTTAATATTTTTATCGAGTTTAAAAACTTTAATGATAGAATAGCAGATAATAAAAATAATAATTGCTTGTTTAATTTTGTTGAATTAATTGGGTTGCTGCCCAAAATTTAGATGGAAAATAAAGAGACCTACCCTGGAGAGGAGGCATATCAAGGACTGCATTTGGTTTCTACCCACAGAATCTCCAACAAAGGCCAAGGACTTGCCTCTAACAATTTCAAGGAACTGAGCAGGGTTGAAAACCGGAAGCTCACAGCCATCAGGTTTCCATTTCCATTTCATGAACTCCGTATCAGGCCTTCCATATTTCATGCAATTCTGATGCTCATGTATTGCCCAGCATGTCGTGTTCGTGTAGTAAGGTGCATCAAGATTTGGCATCCATTCCCCGGAAAATATGTCACAAGTCTCACCTTCGGATATACTTATTGAAGCTTCGAGTTCTTGAGAATCATATGTGGATGATGGCTTGGAAGAGGAGTGTTTTAACAGGTATACAGGATACCCTAGCAAAGGGTAAAATACCGGAATGATAGTGAGCAAAACTAAGGTGCCAAAGATTATAAGTAGGACAATTTTTGGTGTTTTTGGCTGTGCATGACTTCTGCCCAAGGGAAGCTCTACTGCATGAGGCTTCATTCACAAAGAGGAGAGACGCAGAAAAAACTAGATGGTTTTTAGGAAACAGTCAAGGCAATTCGAAAGAGACTAAGCCAAAGTATTTAAAGTTGTTGAATATATTTTAATAATAAAAACGGTTTGACAGTTATTAAGTATTTAATTGTAAGTAACTCTTAATATAATAAAATTTCTTTTAACTCCTAATAATATTAGTGTTTAGAAAATCTTTGCCATAACATCAATTATGATTTTTTTTTTCAATTAGTTGCAAATTCTAAAGTTTATAAATAGATTTTAAAAATCAAATAACAAACAATTTATTTTATTCATTATTTTCATAAACCACACATAGTTATGTATTTTCTAATTTTTAGGCAAAGAAGGTATTCAGTTTTTTACGCTTTATTAATCTATCCTTAGTTGTAAAGTGTGTTACAATAATATAGCTGGGCTGTTATATCTTGAATGTGACACATTTTGAGAATTTACTGCACTAGTTGATACAATTTCAGAGAAGCGCGAATCGTCTTAAAAAAAATGAAATATTTGTGCATCAATCTAGTACTTCATACTATCAATGAAATCTATCTATTTTCCTTTCATTTATTATTTTTGTTATTAATATTTTTCTGTTAATTTTAGTTTCCAGTAATAACAAATGTTGTGGCAAGTTCAAAAAAAAAAAAAAAAAACAAATATGGTGATAATTACTTTTTATATATGGTTTTTTGGACCCACGTAATTAGTTCAATTACAAAATATAAATTAAATATTACTAAACCCAAAATTTAATTCAATTAATTTATAAAATCATATTTAAAAAATAATATTCAATATATATGAAATTCAAATCTTAATACTTATAACACATGTTTTAGTCTTTAGATTACAACCTTCTTTATAATATAAAAAAAATAATAATAAGTTGCAGGTTATCCTATCGTAATCAAGACAATATATCATTGATGTGGTTATTGTTTTATGTACTTATTTTGAATTATTAGTATTTTTTATTAGAAATGATGAAAAGATCCCTTTTAACTACCACCTATTGATTGTAAAATGGCACCTAAATCTGTACAACTTGATGTAAATGCAAATTTAAGTTTGATTCTCTAAGCTTTGTGCACCTAATTTGAATTCAAATGTCTAAGCTTTGAGGAGAGTGAGAGAGACAAGGAAACTGATTGAGATATCTAAAATAATAATAGTAATAAAATAATTATAGTGGTTGATATGGACTTAACCCAATTTTGGACTTTGGTGGTGTCAAAATTGAAATTATCTTCTTAGAAAATGAGATTAGTTAGATATTAGCTTTGTCTTTGAGTGTTATACGAACTATGAGTTAACTTGTCCAGATAGATGTGTAATTTTTTTCAACAAAGTACAATTTAGGAGCATAAGATATTCACATTTTTTAATAAGAATCCTTATATTTATTATATTAAATCAAATATTTAGGGTATAGACTAAATAATTTGTTACCAAACTGTCATAAACTTATAAGTTGTTTGCCAGATAGTCATATTTGTTCTAGAGCAAGATGTGATTTTCCGATTTGGTGATTTATGGTAAGAATTTTTACATAGGTATTTAGGGTCTAAGAGCATTTTACTCTTTTCACTTGTTAATAAGAAAGACTAACAACCTAGTTCAACATCACTTCAGACTGGTTGTCTCAGTTCATATAATTGATGGTGGATGCACGAGTCATTCATGTATTACAAGGAGCGTACCACATCAGCCTGACCAACCTCATTGAGCCACATCATTTACGTCTCTTTCATATAAGGTATTTCGGTAACCTTAAGCCTATATTTGGATTGAAGTTATAAAGAAAAGGAAAGAAAAGGAAAAAAAAAATATTTTTAAAAGAAATAAAATGATAGTTTTCTCATTTTATTTTTAATTTTCTTTATTTTTGCATTTTTTTCTTACTCTTTCACATATTGACTTAAGCATCGATGAACAAATTCTGAATCAATTTCCAATCTCTAATGAAGTGTTTATTTCTTTTTTCAAATGCTTATCCTCAAAATCACTTCTCACACAAATAAAAAATAAAAATACAATTCTATAATAATTTCAAATTAATCATATTATTTAATGGAAATAATTTATTGTTACGGTTGATTAAGCAATTATACCAACATTTATTAAATAAGTCCAATTCAATTTGTGCAAGCAAGCGATGGCATTTATCAAGTTGACAAAGCCATCCGGAAGTCTTACCATCATCTTCTATATACTTTCCCGTAAGCTTAAGTAAACGAAATTACAAGATTTATTACCGCAACTTTCAATAAAATCAGTAAATTAATCACAAGAAAATTTAGCTCTAAATAAAAAGATATAAACCAAGAATATACGATTTTCTTATACCCTATCTTCAA